TATATATAAATCAAGCCAAAACAACCAGGATTCCCACCCCAAACAAAAAAAGAGAAAGGAAAAAAATATGTTAAACAAAGTCACCAGAGTATACAGTGATGTAATTTCACTGATCTTTATTTTCATGTTTTGAAAGATTCAGACTTGGAGATGCCATAGATTTTTAGTTTTAGTATTTATTTTGTAGTCAGAAATGAACCAACAAAAAATTAAGATTTCTGAGCTATTCAATGCTTGTGACAAATGCGGATGTGATTTTATAAGTGTCATCAGTAAATGAGGCTCTTGCATTTTCTCTTTGAAACAATGCAAAGGGAAGAAATTGTACAGCTATCATCATTCATGCGGCAACAATGGATCTGACTCTGCAGCAGCCAAAACAAGTTCTTTAAACTGCGTATTGCTAGGATTAATAAGAATTGAAAAATACAGACAAAGAAAGAAGATAATTTTTCTTTTGACTATTTCCATGTAAATCCGTTGTTCCCATTGTCTGTCTTCCAGCGACTGTGCCTCATCAGCCTAAACGGTCGGTTTCAGGATCTGTTTTCCCAGTGTGATGTAGGACATTAACTGTTGTTTCTAGTGAAACCAAAATGAGATGACAAGAAGAATATTAAAGGGATCTTTTAATTTCATCTCCACAGATGAGAAGTAAACACAACATGCTCATGCATGGCTTCCTGTAGGGATATTGTTGTGCTGGAAGTCATCTGAAGAATTAAGACTGAATCTATTTTAGTGGGGTGCAGGGTCCTACTTGCTATTCCAGGAAGGCATTTTGGCTCGCTGGCTATAAATCAAAGCAGCTCCAGCCACAAACAAGATAGCTTGCAAGCTTAAAAAAAATCTTCATAATGAAATAGAGTGATGGTACAGAGTTATACACACTTAGATGCATACAAAGCACCTCCCTGATCAAATAGTATGAGCAAAAATAATCTGAACTGCATAGGATTTCAAAACGTTAATGTGGAGACAGTTACAGAAAAATGGCTCTTTCTCAGGCTTCTTTGGCAGAGATACAGAGAGAGAAAATACGTGAACAAAATGCTCCTGATGTGCTTGTAAGTTTATACGGAAACTTTCCTTTCTTGTTAAAAGGCAATTTATACATGTATTTACCTGACAGCAGATGCTGTTGTATGACTTCAGTGCCTTAATCTGTTACTCAAAACAGCTTTATTTTTCTCTTTCCGATAAAAAATAACAAGGTTGTATTTATTGTGTGCAAGTCTCTCTGTGTTAAAATAAGTTATTTTAACATTGCAGATCTTCCAACTATTGGCTCAATCGCATCCAGTCCTTTCTCTACTGCAATGAAAATGGCCTTCTGGGAAGCTTTTCTGAAGAGACTCACACATGCACCTGCCCTAATGACCAGGTTGCCTGCCATGGCTTCCTTCCCTGCACGGTTGGAGACGGCTCTGCGTGCTTGAGCTGTGCTCCTGACAATCGCACCCGCTGTGGGAGCTGCAATGCTGGCTACATGCTGAGCCAGGGGCTTTGCAAGCCTGAAGTGGCAGAATCGACAGAGCACTACATTGGGTTCGAGACTGACCTTCAGGACCTGGAAATGAAATATTTATTGCAGAAGACAGACCGGCGAATTGAGGTCCATGCCATTTTCATCAGCAACGACATGCGCCTCAACAGCTGGTTTGATCCTTCTTGGCGCAAGCGGATGCTCCTTACTCTTAAGAGTAACAAGTACAAGTCTAGCCTGGTCCATATGATACTGGGCCTCTCTCTTCAAATTTGCCTAACTAAAAACAGCACCTTAGAGCCCGTTCTTGCTGTTTACGTCAACCCTTTTGGGGGCAGCCACTCTGAGAGCTGGTTTATGCCTGTGAATGAAAATAATTTCCCAGACTGGGAGCGGACTAAACTGGACTTACCCCTTCAGTGTTATAACTGGACGCTGACTCTGGGCAACAAGTGGAAGACATTTTTTGAAACTGTACACATCTATTTGAGGAGTAGAATAAAGTCAAATGGTCCAAATGGCAATGAGAGCATCTACTATGAACCCCTGGAATTTATTGATCCCTCAAGAAATCTGGGCTACATGAAAATCAATAACATTCAAGTGTTTGGCTACAGCATGCACTTTGACCCAGAAGCAATTCGAGACTTGATTTTGCAGCTGGACTACCCCTATACTCAGGGATCACAGGACTCGGCACTTTTGCAGTTGTTAGAGATACGGGATCGTGTAAATAAACTCTCTCCACCTGGTCAACGTCGTCTAGATCTCTTCTCTTGCTTGCTCCGTCATAGACTCAAACTGTCTACCAGTGAAGTGGTGAGGATTCAATCTGCTTTGCAGGCCTTTAATGCCAAATTGCCAAACACAGTGGATTATGACACAACCAAATTATGTAGTTAACCATAAATGTGAAGCACAACACAAAACCTTGAAGGAGTTTTTACAGTGCTTTTGTGGAACAGTTTATGTTTGGAAGAGTAAATTTAAATTGTCTTTTCAATATCTGTCTTATATCAGTCAATACTGTTGGATGGCAATTTACACACATGAACTTGCTGACAATGAATATATTATACCTGCAGTTTTGGTTTATGAATGAAATAAATACTGACACCAGTCTAGGAGACATTCTACTTTTTACAATAAACTTCATTTGTAATTTTATATGTTCCGTGGCAATGCTTTTGTGCATTACATCCTCTAGAGGGAACATAGAAGGATACCAATAAAATTTTGTAGCCGAACAGTTATTAAAAAGAAATGCTGTGGGATTCTTTTTTCTTACACAAAAGTAGTAACCTTAATACACTTTTGTGTGTGTTGAACACAGGAGACGCAGGTAAAGAGAAGAGAGTGACTCAAGATTTTAACAGAAACTGTAGAAAAGTCAAAGCCATAAAATATTTTATTCTTAGGATGTGGATCTAAATGTTCACGCTGAGCTAAAGTGACAACTGTAGTGATGCTTTACGTGCTACACCTGAGACTTTCCGAAAGCATGCCCTTTTCAAGGTGTTTAACATGACATACAGACTCCCAGAGTGGTAATATTGAATGTTTTAGGATGGACAGGAGGTTAGTACTGCGAAATGCACAGTAATGAAAGGTTGCATTAGCTCAGTAGGAGACAGGTGAGAGGCTGTCTTTGCAACAGATATTACTCACGTTACAAAAGAAACAACCTTTTCCAGCAAAAGTGTTTTTTGAAAGTCTCCATAATCCTTTGCTTTGCATATTTACAGAAAGAATTAAGCACATGTATATATTACCTCCTCCCAATTACACACAATATAATATTTCTCTAGAATTATCTGTTTTGAACTATTTACCTAAATATCGTTCATGCTGATTAGATTTGAATTCATTAAAAAAAATTCCCTGACAATGCAACTATTTAGTATGGATATTTTTTTCATTGGTACAGATAATTTCCTTTCAGGGCAAGGTTTATCAGTTTTAAAAAATATACCCTTTTACAGATACATGGCAGTTATTGAAATCTGGTTTACAAAGCTTAAACTACAAATAAATATGTCATTTTCAATTAACAAAATTAATTAAATGTGCATGACACTGGATATTTTACACATTCCAGCAGAAAAAAAGTACAACTAAGACAGCAGAACTTGGGACTCTGAAGAAGGTTTTGCTACCTCTTGCAAGAGAATAGGACGAATGGATGGTGGGGGTAGTAAATACAGGCTAAAATGAAGGAAATTGATACAAAGTCTTTTAGTACCTCCTACTTATGTTAAGTCTGAATTTGTGTCATTGATGTAAAAGGCAACTTTTTTTAAAATCCGAAAGAATTACATACAAACTAACATTTTATGTGCAAGCACAGAAGGAAAAAAAACATATTTAATTCATATACAATTTTAGTTCAACTAGACATCAACTAATTTCAATTAAATTCAATTTTATTAATTTCAATTTATTTATATTACAATTTAATTCTGAATTGTAACCTAATCTGAATTTAAGGTACACTCCTCACTTTGTTTCTAGCTAGACCACAGCAGGACAAGAAATGCAATGCTTCATAAATATATGTAAGCAAAATAAAATGCAAGACCAGTAACACTCCAGAAACCCTACTGCAAGGAAAATCTTTTCTTTGCTGATTCCTGTCTCTTCTGATTTTACAAAATATTTATAGGGATTATTATTTCACCACCACACATTCAGGTAATTCCTCAGACCTTCTATACTAGGAAGCCCCCCAGAACGAAAATTAGCATTTTTTTTCTTGTAATCAACTTCTGGATAAATTCCTGTTTTTTTCTATTTACTTTACCTTTTTTTGCTGATAAATAATGTATCTCAGCCCCTCTTCTATGTGTCAGAATTTTGGCTTGCTCTTGCATTGATAAGACCCTCTCAGTCAAGATTCTTACTATTCCTGCTTTCATCTCCAAGTCTTTCCTTTGGTATGTCTTTGGTAACTACAATAAATTGTAGACTTAGATAGTTTGGTTTTACTACTCAGTATCTTGTGTAGTCTTTTTAAATAAACAAAAGACTATGATGTTGTAAAATGAACAAAAAGCAAAAACATGCTCTTCTGTTCATAGAAACTAAAAGTTACAATAGAAATGTGGGGCAATGATAAATAAAGCATTTGCTTATGTTATCCCTTCAATAGGAAAAAATACTAATATATACTGGTAAATGGTCTGAGGTTTTTTCCCCCTCTTTCACCCTCCTCCCTAAAATAGTACCTCCATGACTATTTTTGCTTTCTGGGTTGTATGTTTTTTTTCATTTTTTGTGTTTTCTTTTTTTTTTTAAATATCTCTCTCTGCCAAGATGGCAAGTTCTTCGCTATGCCCAGATGTGTACACAATAGAATGTACAAATAAGAAGAAACCCGAAGAGGTTTCAGTCAGACATCATTTAATTATTATGTAACTCATTAAGTGATTTCACTGCACAAGTGGAAAATCCCTGACATTATTGTATCTTTGTGCCAAATTAAAAGTATAATACAACTTTCCTAACCTACTAGTCATGGACTAGTTTTGGATTTTGGAACCTGTGGGATCTTGGAATAGTGAGGGTTTCTAGTTTACCAAAACTGATTCCATAAAGATAAATATAAAAGGGGAAAAAAAAAAGTGACTAATGAAAAAAATGTCACAGGATTTATCTGGTTCTCAAGTTACAAACAATAAGCCAGCAATATTTCCCTTTTTATACTTTTCCAATTGAAAACTTTCTATGTTCTCAAAATGAATTTCAGGGTGTGTAGAAAAAAAAAAGAGAAGTCTGGATAAGTCAAAACACTCAAGCACTTCATCTATAAGAAAATTTTGTAATAAGATATGAACGCACTTGTGGGGAAGAACGAACTGTGGCTACATCTATCTACACTCATTTCCATCTGGACACTGGAGGATAATATCTCTCCTACTTAGTGTACACTGTACATCAGATCCTGACTCTGATTTTTGTGCTGTCCATTTCCCTCTGCATTCAGCCATGCTGTTATTACTTGCCACTATAAACTGAATAAAACACTAGGAAGTTATAGTAATATATGGAACTGTACCATGGCAACCCAACAGTATTCAGAAAAAAAAACTTTAGCAATTACAGTTCTAATATCCAGGTAAATATTAATTGTAACACAGTAACCTGCCCCCTCAAGTGAGGGCAACCGTTATCTGATACAGAACTCATAACACTATTTTCCAAGCAAAACCAATTCAGGTCATGTCTGAAGTCTGAGAGCCAAAAGAATGTCTAAAAGTTCTATTTCAGGAACAAACTGTAATAAGGATGGGTTACTTTACCACTGCCTAGAAACCAGAATTAGGTTTGCCAGAGTGATCTAAACCTCTGGGTGATACAATTCAGAATACAATTAATGATAAAAATATAATGAAGATGAATAAACTTTCATTTCTTTCATTTCTTACAGAAAAGATACAGGCAGACAGAAAATATGTTTATATTCTCAGTGAATGCTGGCTGAAGGTTGAAGAGAGGTGTAGTTGTATTTCAGGGTGTTTTTTCCTTTGCCACAGAACAGTTATACCTGTAAAAATAATTGAGGGAAGAGCCCGTGTTTCCCAAAGTATGCATATGCTGACTGCATTTATTGTGAACGTGCTTATTCAGCAGATAATTCAAGTCAGTAAAGAGGCAAAAGCCAAGACAAGTCAGTTTTTCCCAGGCTGAGTAAGTAGCTGTGCAGCTCGAGCCCGAGAGAGGACGGAGACATGAAGGAGGGTGCTACAACTGTCAAAAGGTCATTTGCTTGAAAATACAGCACATATTCCAGGTACAAAGCAAAACATAGCAGAGCATCAAGGAAGAAAAAAGAACACCCATATCATTACTCTGCTGAGCTACGTCTAAACTTTGAGTCCTGCATGGCAATAGACCCGCGACAGCAAACAGGTAAATGTGATCAGGCTTCTACAGCCCCGTAGCAATTGTTTCTTTAACAGGTAGATGACAGAATCTGAAGTATAGCTCGTGGCAGCACAGCCACCCTTACGAGGGGGAAGGTGCTCCAGATGGTGCAACAGGGGCTTCTGCCAAGGTAGCTACGGTGCAAGCGGGAAGCCAGGAAGAAGTGGGGAGGGGGCAAGAGCCAAGATCTCATTTTACTACGCTGTTAAAGAATTGGAAGAGAGCCCCTATGTCCCACTGCAGTTAAAACAAGAGACCAAGGTCACCTTGTGTGTGGTAGGAATTTGGTAACAAGAAATGTCATGGCTCTTTTTTCATGAGAACCAGCGACATGAGAGACCTTGACAACACATCTGGTATCGTCGTCTCCCTGCCGTCCACAGTTGATTGAGCCTTACAGCACAGGCAGTTTATAGAGCTGCATGACTGACTTTGTGTCTATTCGCTCAGTTTCATATTCTAAGCCAGAAATCTGTTCAAGATGCAGCATAGTAATCTCAAGTTCTGTGTACAGATATCACTTACCAAGCAACCTATAACGCTGGGACACGGTGTGTATAATGTCAACTTATCCACATGCCAGAGGAGTGTATGGCTTTCCGAGACGTTCTATGTTCACAAATGTGGCAGAGTGGCCACACCACAGATTACGCTGCTTTGGGAGCGAGTGTGTGTGGAGGAGCAAGAGTCATAATTTCTTTCTTTACTCACCAAACCAAGAACAATAAGGTGTAAATTATGGTTAAGGAAACAGCTTTACCCCCCAGAAATGGTGCAAATTCTTCTTTCC